TATTAATAATTTTAAAAAACTTTTATAATAAAAGTTATAAAATATGTTTTCAAAAATATATTCTATAATAAATATAGGGAATATTATTATAGTGCTATAGTTGTCGCGATGCTACCCTTATGTAATCAGTTGTTAATTAAAATAATCTTAATATACACAATACCACAGTGCTACCCTTATGTAATTGTTTGTTAATTAATTAAAATAAATAATATAATGATATACATAGTACTACGGCACTATCCTACGTAATCCTGTTAAATTAAACAACTTGCGTTCTGATCTCTTGCCTAGAATAAATAATTTTTTTCATTACTCACCCACGCTAGATTGTTTTTTCTGTTGCTTTTTACCTACGTTTAACAAATGGAAGAATTCGTTGTTAATAATAATATGTTATATGAACTTGCTGTTAATCACAATACATTATATGATAATAATTAAGTAAATTTCAGTATTAACGAGGCACTATATGATAATCAAACTGAATTTGATATCCACAATGATGTCGTATATGAGATCGGTCAGCCTAGAAATAAAAGCAATGATGCGATTAATTTTGAAGGTGCAAATTATGAAAATACGATAGATCAGGAATGGAGTTATATAGTGGATGGTGCTCAAAATGAGGAGTTGCGAATAAATATGATATTCCTTAGTTAGGATCATGCGATGAACGAAATCGAAAAATATAGAAAGAAACAAGGCTTCAAGACATGTTGTTATCATGTTGAGAAATCCAATAACTGTATCTGGAGACGTAAGTTGGTTTGTGAATATTATAGAAAGCCCAAGGCCACAAAAAGCAAGGATTCAAAGAAGGAAACTACTTCTAAACGCATTGGGTATACATGGCAAATAAATCTTTCATGTCCTGAAAAAAATAATTCTCATAAAATCATATACATTACAAAATTAGTTGATGAACACACGAATCATGATCTTGACCATGAGCATTTTGACTTTCTGGAAAACTTGGAGTTTACCATAGACATGGTTACGATGTTAAATTTTATGTGACAAAGATAAATTGTAGCCCCCAATAAATTCGCAGAGCTCTGGAAGAAAAGTAGTTCTTAAAAGTTTACATGCCTGTTCTGCATCAGGTAATTCAATGATTTTGCTCAAAACCACATGATTAAACAAATGATGCTAGCTGTCTGTATAAAGAATTGGTAAAAAAAAAAGAAACTGACCCTGATGGTATGTTGAAGTGGAGTAGGACCCTTATAGTAAATATCTTCGCCAATTGTTTTATATGTCTCTTGATCAAATTGAACGATGGTTGAAGTTTGGAGACATTATTTTAAATGACAATACTGCTGCTACAAATTGTTATGAAATGGTATTGTCACTTTTTTTGGTAGTTGACAACTATTTATCTTCCCATTTGGTAGCTCAGGCTTTAACTGATGATGAGACAAAAGAAGCACATACCTGGATATTGCGACAAATTAAAAAAGCAACTTTTGAAGCTGCTCCCCATGTTATCTTTACTGATGTGGACCCTGCTTTAATTGCCACAATACGAGATGAATTTCTGACAACATATGCTCTTCATTGCATGTTCTATATTGCACAGAATCTTCCTCTTAATTTAAAAAATATTCTCAGAGATCGCTATGATGAGTTTATCAAAGATTTCTTCGAAGTACAACAAAGTAGCTTTATTGCAATCTTTGAATACCGGTAGAAATGTCTACTTGACAAGTATAATAATGAAAATATAATTAGTTACTTACAACGAATGCTTTATACCAATAAAGAATCATGGGCAAAAGCATTCGTATTTAAATTGTTCATAGCTGGAATGTCTTCAACTTCTCAGGTCGAAAGCTATAATGCAAAGATTAAAAGATTAATATTTAACTCCAATACAACATTATTAGAGCTAGCAGAAAAATTATCAGTATGCATTCTCGAAGAGAATAAAAAGACAGAATATGCTTTATTTCATGCATCAATTCCCAAGACTGTTCTGACTGCAACGGCTGATACTATTCTACCGAACGTCTGTAATATGTTGCGTAAATATCTTACTGCTGAAATGTTAAAGATTCAAGAAGATCAAATAAAACAGGCACTTCATTACCATAGTGTAAAAATAGTAACAAATGAGCTGCAAAAGTTTCTTGCGGTAAATAAAGATCTAGTTATTTTTCTTAAAAAATTTCAAAGATTAATAGTATATTAACGATTATTACTGTATTAGATTAATTTAGATGATCCTGACTTATTTGGTGAAAATCCAAAATTTACCAATATCATAGCCAAGTTAATGCTTAATCTTGTTGACAAAGATAAGATTGTAGAAATGTGGGGAGTTCAACAAATAATATTAAACGAAATACAGCATTTTGTTGTACTTTTGGATAATGGGACTCATTTATGTTCTTGTTTTGACCACTGCAATCATGGAATCGTTTGCTGGCATTTTTTTCAAATAATGCTATGTATACGGACTGCAATGTTCCATATTCAGCTAATACGACCTGATGGTATAATGATAATATAATCAGTAATTCTACAGAACCATTTTTGGTTGCATGAAAATTTGAAATAGAAGAACCAATGACGATGGGTTGGAGTGGTCCAATTTCTTATCTTAATGCACTAGTTAAGGAAGTGCATAATATAAACTATAAAGTAATTGATGAACGAAAGCTATATAGAGAGGCTTGGGGTAAAGCAAAAACTGCATTAATGGTAGCAGTTCGGAGGCACGATTACAATTTTATTACTATCCTCGATAAATATTTAAATGATTGTAAAGAGGTATTATCTGATAGTAATGTAGATTCAGGTAGTGAAAATGAAATTGAAATTGATAATAGAAGGTTGGATCCAAGTGAGTTGATGAATCCTCATAAACGTAAAGGAAAAGGTCGACCAAAGGGAACTGATAGAATTAGACGTGCAGGTGAGCCATCAAAAAAAACAAACCGCAAGTTACATTGTAAGATTTGTGGAGGTGCTGGGCATAATCGGTTAACCTGCTCTCAAAAACAAAAATAGTTTATTTGTATGCAAGGAGTAATTTTGCTATATGTATCGCTATTGCTACGTATAATTGAAATTTTAGTTAATGCTAGTTGGTACTTGTTTGTCATGTTTTTTAAATTGATTTTTCAGTTAACGTTAAACATTAGTAGGTTTTCTGATATTTAAGGTTAGATCAGCATAATCTAAACTTAATTCGCTATGTTATTAGAGACTAGAAATGCGTTAGAATTGTTCTATAACTTAAGTAATACGTATAGTAAGTTACAGCTACATATAAAGCTGTAACTTACTATATTTGTACTGTATAGTAAATACAGTATATTATATATCGTAACTATACATATAAACTTTAGATACGTACTATATGCAATTTAATTATATACTATATATATTAATGTATATATTAGTATATAATTTAATAAATAATAAATACAATTAAAAAATATAGTACTATAAAACCATAGCACTATGATGCTATTGCACTATAAAATAAAACTCATAAATATATACCCCATATTATTAATAAATTATTATTTTATTTAAAAAATACTAAATACAATTAAATTTTCCAGGCAAATTTGCCTGGAATATAGTTTAAGGGATAATATAAAAAATTTATATTTAATTTAAATATAAAGTTCTGATATTTCTAATTTAAATAAGGATTTTATAATTTATCGCATATACGATATATTGCTACCTATAAGATTCATGTAATGTCAAATCAAAACAATATAAAATAACCTGATTTTTTTATTAGTTAGGGTTAGGTGAGGTGAAGATAGTGTGAAGGTGATAAGAAAAGGTTTGATAGTAAAATTGTGCAAGGATTTTTTTTGTTAGAGCACAAAGAATGATTTTATAGCAAAATTTTTGAGTTACAGGTGATTTTTTAAAAAAGACAATATTTTGTTTCGATTTCACGTTACACCTGATCTTGCATTCTAATTGGTTGATCAGGGGTAGTGATACATCGCTATAGTGATAAATTACAATATCCTTTAAATAATAAAGGCAAGATTACTAAAAAAAAAAAAATAAAAAACTTTATAATATATAGTTGATAATATTTAAATACATACTGCATACTATATAAATACATAATTTTTTAAAAAAATTTAATAGTAATATGCATTTAGACAGTAAATTTTCTAGTATTTGATTGGTTAATACTGTTTAAATATTTAAAATTAATTTTTTTTATATTTACCAATAGCAGTATTGTCATGAGATAGTTGTAGACAGTAAGTTTGGACACTTTATACAATTTTGGATAATTAAATAAATTAAAATTACTCAAAATTTTATTAAGATAACTTATATTAATTTCTAAGTAAAATATATTTAGTATATAAAAATATATATAATTATATATTTTTTAACCAAATTTATGAATTATTAAAGCTTGGACATGCTCTGGATACTTGTGAATATTTGGATATTTGAATATTAGACAGTACTAAAAAAGCCTTTGGGCAGTTAAAATGTACAATACTGCCAATAGTATATATTTAGACAGTATTAACTATAATATCTTATATTTAAAATATTTTAGATTTAGATTTTTATCATTTGGTGCGAGTGCGTTGTGACGCACTCCATAAGATCCAGTGTAATTTGAAATCAAAACAAACCAACAATGCATTAATTTAGGGTAAGGGTTAGCCCGAATATAGGATTAGATTAGATTGTAAGTAAATGTTAGTTATACCCAAAATTTTGCAAAAAATTTTTTTTGTTAGAACGCAAAAGATGGTTTCATAAGCAAAATTATGAGTTACAAGCGATTTTTTCAAAACATCGCTATTTTTTTCGATTTCACATTACACCTGATCTTACAATCTGATTGGTCGATCAGGTGGGCGCGTTACAATGCATATGCGCTAAATTATATAAACCTTAGATTTATATAGAAAAACTAAAGATTTGTATAAAGAAAATTAAAAAAACTTGTATTATATTTTATATAATTTTTTTTATATAACCTAAAATATTTTTTTATATAACTTATATTCTCTTAAATTATGTGGCTATATTATACTTTTAATAGTCAATCAAAATATTTTTATATACTATCTAAATATATACAATATGATTTTTGTAAACAAATTTTAATATCTAAAAATTACTTGTTTTTATTTTAACAAATATTTAATCTAAGGGTGTGATGATTTAGTAAAGTGGTAAAGTTGTTGCACTCCCAAGTGGTTGAGTACAAGTTCAATTCTTACTGAAAACAAAAATTGAATTTAGAAAAACAGATTTAGCAACTATTGTTGTGATCAGAAAAACTTGAAATCTTGTAACTGTGGTTATACCAATTTATTAGAACTGGAAGATTCTAGATATTTATATAATGAAAAAGTTATACAAGGTATATATTATATCGCAGAAAGCCACAGAACCAATATGACAGTAGATACTTACTTGGCAAGTTCTGAATAGAGAAGTAGTACAGATCTTTAATGATTTTATTTAGAATAGAATATATCTGAGATTAATACAACTAAATAAGGACTAGATATCTAGCAAGAGTACCCTACTAACCAAACTGCCAAAGTATCGATCAGAGGAAAAAAATCTGCATACAAATACCAAAGGACTAGTTTGGGGAGATTATCTAGAGTGATACTGAAAAGAAAGGTATTGGATAGACTTGAAAGAGAATACTAAGGTTTGGATAAACTCTATAAGGGCAGAAGTAGATTGTGTAGTGACAGACTATAGTTAGTTAAAATATTATGAAAAAAACCAGTAAGAATAAAACAACCAGAGAATATTTCTACTATAGAAACTGACTGCAAGTAGTAGGCCTTGGCCTGTGTGTATTAATTGAAATCTAGG